CAATCGTGACCTCCTCTGTGGTCAGTGGTACCTCCGCCATTACCGCCATACCTTCTCCAAGATCCTCGGCGTGTAGATCCCCGCCTTCACGGTAGCAGACTTGTTCATCTTCGGTCTTTGTCTGATCCACCCTTGGATCCAGGCACCGCGACTCTCCTTCGACCGTCATCCCTTCTGTCTTCTTGTAGTGGACTTTGGTGCTGGAAGACTCCAATGGGACGGCAGTGAAATTAAAATTGTAACGGCGAACGACGTCTCACAAACGCCCGCAGCGCACGGACTCGTAGAGATTGTAGAAGAATGCGACGATGAACTGTTTGCTGGCGATTCAACGGACGTCAAGCCTGCTGATCTACTGCCCCATAATCTTGAAGCAGATCTCCAGCATTGTTACCTCAAGCTGCTGGAAGCGTTTTTCGATCTGTACAGTGGTCGACTAGGAAGAATTCGCTTGCCAGACTACGTGCTGCCCCTGACTGCAGATTACGAGCCCTCGCACGCGAAACCATACTCCGTCGCTCGCAGCCAGGAGGATGCAGCTCGTCAGGAGATGAAACGTATTCTTGATCTCGATGTCGTGGAGCAGATTTACGGATCGGAAGCAGCAGCACCTGCGTTTTTTTCTACTGAAGCCAAGTGGAGCCCTTCGGCTGCTTGTGGACTTCCGCCGGCTCAACCGCGTTTTACGTCGATCGCCATACTATGTTCCCAAGATCAGAGAGATCTTGCTTCGTCTCGACAAAGCTAAGTGCTTGAGCACACTGGATGCCAACATGGGTTATTTTGCCAGACGCCTCGCTAAACACAGTCGTCCATTCACCGCATTCTGCCTCCCGTTTGGCAAGTTCCAGTTTAAGCGCCCCCCCCATGGGAATCGCGACGGCACCCGACGAATACCAGTCCTGTATGGAGAGAATTCTTGGAGGCTTACCTTTTGTCATCGTGTACCTCCATGACATCCTGATCTTTTCCGAGAACGAAAGCGATCATTTGGAGCATCTGCGGATTGGGTTCAAGCGCTTAAGAGAGTATGATGTCACTCTAAACGCTCCATCTTGCGTGATTCTGTGGACTACTTGGGATTCACGCTGACCCCGAACGGCATCCAGCCTCAGGCCAAGAAGGTCGAAGCCATTCAGCAGATTGTGGAGCTTCCCAACAAGAAGGAGCTTCGCAGATTTCTCGGGATGATCTCGTACTACCGGGAAATGGTCCCAAACAAATCAGCGCTCACAGCGAAACTCAACAGGTTGACATCAAAGAACGTCCCATTCGTTTGGGCACCTGAAGCGGCAGCAGCCTTTCAAGACATCAAGAAAGCACTCGCCCGTAATGTTTGGCTGGCTATTCCAGATTACAGCCGGACATTTCACGTTTTCGCCGATGCTAGTGGTCGTCAGATAGGTGGAGTGATCATCCAAGGCAAGCGCATCATTGCCTGCTTCTCTTGTTCCCTAACGGACACGCAGCGCAAGTATTCTACCATGGAATGGGAGCTTCTTTCGGTCGTTGAAATTCTCAAAGAGTACCGCACAATGCTGCTTGGATTTCCTGTAATCATCCACACAGACCACAACAATTTGCTTTTCCCACAGGAATCGTCACTGCGAGTAAAGCGTTGAAAGCTGCTGCTCGAGGAATACCGTCTCTCCGTGCAGTACGTTCCAGGTGTGCAAAACATTGGTGCAGATTCATTCTCGCGACTCCGCTATGACTATGTGAAACAAACAACCGAGACGGAACTTCTTGCAGTGAAGGAGGAAGAAGTCGCCATCGACGGTGCCGTGCTGAAAAAGCACCAACTTCCCGACTCGACTACGAAGACGATTATCACTCGGCTGGAACAAAACGCCGCTGACCCCGACTATTCACTGCGCGCAGCACTTGGAACAGTTTTGCTGCATTTCAAAAAGGGGGGTGTTGTCCCCACATCTCTTCGGACGGATATTGTGGAGCTTTATCACGAGTACTTACTGCATACCGGTGCTGAGAAGCAGTTTCAGTCCATGTCGACATTTTGGTGGCCAGGCATGGAAACTGAAGTGAAGAATGTTGAAATTCAATGAATCTGGCGCCAGATGCGCCGACCAGCTGGAGGTCTCGGATGGCGTGCGAGGGTAAGTATAGGAAGGATAAATGACGGAACGGTCACTCACTAATCTCACTTTCCATTCTGCTTCCTACTACGCACCTTTACCTTTCAACAAAGAAGTACGTCACAGCCTGCATGCAGTGCAAGCGAGCAAAGTTACACGGAGGAAAACAAGATTACGGCCATCTTCCACCAACGCCAATGACGAACGATGATCGTCATTTCGACGTGGTGCATGTGGACCTCATCGGTCCTCTTGAAGGAGATTACTACTGTCTCACTGCCATCGAGCGCCAATTCCGTTGGCTAGAAGTTATGATGCAGCACGGCCGCACATCAGCTACGACGGCACTTAGCTTCGAGTGATGTTGGTTATGCCGCTATCCGCGGCCAAAACGAGTGATTCACGATCGAGGACCGAAGTTTACGGGTGAAAAGTTCCAAGTTCTTCTCAAGTCGATGGCGATCAAGGCCAAACCAATCTCAACCAAGAACCTGCAAGCAAACGCCATGTGCGAGCGCGTCCACTTGGAGATAAGCAACATTATCCGCGCTCGTCCAGATCTGAGCAATCAACTCGAAGTTGTACTCGACTATGCTGCCTACGCTATCCGCGCTAGTTATCACTCGGTGTTGCGCGCTTCTCCGGCCCAGTTGCTTTTTGAAGAAGATATGATCACTCGGCAGCTTCATTTCGCGAATTGGATCTTCCTTTCCAAACAAAGGTTCGCGGCCATCATGTAAGAGAATGATCGCGAAAATCTCACTCGAATTCTGTGACGGGGTCACACAGCACCTTGCGCTAGAGGAAGTTATCTTCCG